ACACACACACACACACACACACACACACACACACACGTCTGTATGAGCTCTTCCGATGGATTCTGCTACTGTGTAAGATTTTACAGACATAAATTCTATTGTTTATAAGCTTTCTTAAAGATGTTTATTTATTTATTTTGAGAAAGAGAGACAGAGGGAGAGTGTGAGAAGGGGAGGGACAGAGAGAATCTCAAGCAGGCTCCATGCTGTGAACACAGAGTCCAATGCGGGGCTTGATCTCACAAATCGTGAGATCATGACTTGAGCTGAAATCAAGATTTGGACACTTAACGAACTGAGCCACCCAGGCTCCCCTGTTTTTAAACTTTTAAATATTTGTAAAGAATTAGAGATGCATTTCACCAAGAGATATATTCAGTGGACACTGACTGGTAGGGATTAATAGAAAACCCGGAAAAACATAACAAGCAACCCTTAAAGTATTTCTTTGAAGTACATTTCATCCTGGGTAGTACTCACAATTCTGTTTCTACTATGAAACACACACACACACACACACACACACACACACCAATTAAGAGATCATTTGAAAAATCTGATAGCACGCTGGACCAATGTCATATCTACCTAATGAATAAGTTGAACAGTATTTAGCAATGCAATGAATCCTCATTGGCACATGGGAAAATCATGGTATTAAGAAAAGTGAAGAAAACTTACCACTTCTTCATGTCTGCATTTTCTCACATTAATTCCATTTATCTGCAAAGAAAAGAAAACTGGTTTCACGTGGCCTATTGTGAATTGAATTTATATTTTGGTTGCACATAGAAAATTAGGGTAAAATTTATACCTGCAGAATCGCATCCCCAATAAAGAGCAGACCTGAAAGTTCCGCTGTGAAGAGAGAAAAGCAATGATTATGCATCGACTATTTTCTTCATACATATGAAAGAGTTTTATAATTAAATCAAATCAATATTGATACAAGGGGGAAAAATAAATGTTTTATATAGACAGCATCGTAAATGATCCACAAGTAATAGAAATGCAAAAACAATCTTATGATTCCGCCCAGATATTGAAACACCTATTTCTGTTTAATCCTATCATTTCAGATCTTACAGTTGCCGAAAACTGGTCGCTCTTCTGGATGGATGACGAGATTTTCTCGTGTACTTATCGTATTAAGGTATCTATGAAAAAGCTTGAATCTAGACATTCAGTCCTTCGGCTATGGGATCAGCTCTGGGTTTCCTTTTAAACATTAGATTGTCTTACTGATTTCAGTTGCTTTACATCTTTGGTGTGTTTTTGAGTGAAACTTCATGATAGACTGAGTAAAACTTCATATGAGAACAGAAAAAAATATGTATGTCAGGAACTGCCTATATTTGACAGGACTTGCTATCATTAAGTTTGTGGATATGTTTGTTTGCTAAATGAAACAATTGAAAAGCTATGTGGTCCCTGATTTATAGAGTCACACTCTCTCTTCTCTTTCCCCTTTGCTTTTCGTGAAAGAAATATGCCCCAAAAGTAATAAAGGGAGAGCCTCAGGAATCAGACTCAGCCACTTACTGCCTGGTCATGGGGAACGTGGAGCTGGTCAATCATATCCTAATCTATAGTATTTAATCCGATTTATTCTACAGTAAGGATGGCTTACAAAGGAATGGTTACTATATAATTCTCTTAACACTTTACCTCTTTGCTCCTTGGAGATTTTTGAAATGACAACTGGAATATTATGTTCTGCTCCCCCCTGAAAAGAGAAAATCATATATTGCGCTTTTTAATTGCAAAAAATAAAAATGCAGGTTTTAGTTAGAAAACTATACATGCAATGAATAGTCTGTGAACGGACACCAGATAGAATTTAAACAAACTTGTGGAGTTTCTCTACTCAGCACATAGTGCTCCCAAAAAAACGTAATCTACCTGTTTAGAATTTCACGGTGATATCCAGTAACTAATAACAGTTGACTTTGAAAGCTTTTGTTTTCCATATAAAGATTGGAAGTGCTTACATGGGCATTCTCTTCAATGTGTATCATGCTGTCCATTGTAGAAATTCTTATTTAGCATTCGAATACCAAATAATTATGTATTTACATTAACTGGCTAAGTTGTTCTAGGCTGCTGACCAAGCACAGGTCCCCTTGGATGCTAAGTAACTAAAGAGACCTTTACCTGCACAAAGTGATACAGAAAGTCAGACTGCATATGCATGATGGGAAAGGAGTCACCTACATTTCTTTAATTAATAGTATATTCCTCTTAGTGTGAAAGTATATATGAAACAATTAACAAAATACAATAAACTGGCAAGAACATTGTAGTAATTCTTCATCTAGTTGACCAAATGATATATGAAAAAAGAAAAAAAAATATGTAAGTTAAACTTATATGGAAGGAAATAAAATAAATCCCTGAAATGAGCACATAAAACTTCTGTTTCAGTATGACAGAATTGAGAAGGTTGAAATCAATAGTTGAAAAATCAAATGAAGGCATAAAAGAATAAAATGTCATGCATAAAAGAAATATAGCACTTTTAATACAGGATAGTTGCAAAGACAATCTAAAATCCCACTGGGTTTCTCTACCTTCAGAACAAGTAAACTTCTTAAATATTTTTTTATTTAAGGACAAAAGTTATTTCAGAACAGATGTTTTTCCATGAATGTCAATTTTTAACTCTGAATTGTCAATATACTTAAATATAAGATGGGCAATTATTGTTGAGAAAAGTAATGACATTCAGCTTTTTTCTTGGAAAGTAGTCCCTTTTCCTTCTAGAATATCAAAAACATGTGATAAATAAAATACTGAAACCGTCTTACTCCGACTGAAATTCAAACCCAGTGCTAACTCTCTTGTCTCACTATTTCTCACCAACCAAATATTCAGCTCCCACCTTCACTAGCTCTGTAAAGTCTCTGACCTAAACTGCATAGCTCCTAATTTTCCTTTGCCTTTTGGTCAGTATGCCCATAAGAAGCACTAATTGTGTCTAACGTGACCTCTCATCTGATCGAAGGATAGTGATTTGTGACTGATAGTGTAGTTGAATGAATGCTTATTTAACACACAATAAACACTGAATACAAGGTAGCTATTATCCTAATTAGTCTATCAATTAAGATTTATGAATAAAATTACATGGCATTAGAGTGGTAAATAAGCTTAGCACTAATCCATTCTAAGACCCTCAGCATTTACTATTTAGGGTTCCCAGTTCCCAATCCCCTATTTTTAATTCTATTCTTTCTTTCCCATTATAGTTATCAGCTTCCAGCCTACTATTATCTTTATTCATTTCTTATATTTATTTGCTTTCTTTCTCCTTCCCCCATCCGTAACTAGAATGTAAGTTCCAAGAGGGCATTGAATTTTTTGGTAATTTGTTTCACACATTGATGTAAACTCAATGCATGGAGTAACGTCTTTCTTTTTTATCTTTGAAATGTTTGTTGATGAATGAGTGAATGAATAAATGAAGTCAAAAGCTTTTCCAGGACTAAGAGAGCTCCATTCTTCAAAGCACATTGCAGAATGATTTTAAGTAGAAGCCAAGAATGTACAATGAATCGAATGACCATAGTCATAGTTGGTGTCTAGAGACACTTGGAAATTGGAAGGAATTTTAAGAACACATCTCCATTTCTAAGAAGAAAAGACCGGTTAACTGAGATGAACCATCCACCAATGAAGTTTCAGGTGGTAGAAAAAGAAGAAACAAACTCATCCAGATACTGTACGGTTCAGATATTTGGGGGCAGAGAGTGACATTGTTTATGTCACTCTTCTCTGTGTGGCTATCATCAGAGTGTTTTTCCTTCAGCTGTTTTGCTTTTCGTAGTTTTTTCTCCTTGCACTATTGAATCCAAAGATTTTCTTAGTGCCAAAGATTTTTCATACCAGTTACCATGGTAGGCCAGTGGGAAACCTCTCGCTGGGGTCTGCCTTGAGAAAAGACAGTTGGAATAGCAATTTCTGAGGGCGAACTCAGTAACCCCACTCGTCTCTCAACACCAGGAGACTTATAGCTATTTTTAAATGACAGGATATAACTAACACCTATTTTGTCAACATTTTTTTTTCTTTTATATGTAAAATCTGTCCTGAAATTTGAATGATTTGAGTCCAAAGGTGGGTTTTTCGTTTTTGGGTCTTTTTAAATCAGACATTAAGAGCTCAGAAAGGATTCTTGATCTAATTGCAGAAAATTACTTTATTAATTAATTAAAGAGCAAATTTTTAGACAAAACTCGGGAGATAAAATTGGAACTTAAAATTACAGTACCTTAATTTATTGGATGAAATGTGAGAGCAGTCCAGCTCTATTAAAGTTAATTAGATTTAGTTCTGGACCTAAATGGGGAAATGTAAGGTTGTCCAGTCAAGAATCAAATAATGCAACTCATCCTATTTAAAATAGGTGATAGACTTCCCATTACACTTAGAATAAAACCCCCAATCCTCAGCGGTCCCCTGTCTTGTGGTCTCAGCCTGCCTCTGCCTCTTCATCCTGGACCTTCATCACTCTGAGCACCAAAGGACATCAATATATACTATCCCCTCTGCCTGGACACTTTTTTCTTTTACTCTTAACCTGGTAAACTCCTACTCAGATTCAAAATTTCAGGTTAAGGACCCCATTTATCAACGTCTGCTTACATGAAGTAATTCACTTCTGTAACACTGGATCTAGGCTATGATTTACATTTATTTACATCAAAATTTGATCAATGTCTACTTTCCTACTAGACTGTAAAGGTCCTGAGCTCCAGGCAGAGCTTCCTTTACTGGCTTCTCCCCAACCTACCCTTCGGATGGCTTGGGTACATGGCTTGTGGTCAAGTTTAGAGAATAAATGAATTCATTGAACTCTGTTGTTCCAGTGTAAAATCAAGACGAGGGAAAGTGAGGCAACATTCTACAATGCATCCCAGAAAATATTAAAACATATACCATTCAATGTATAATTAAGCTTATGGCTAACTTTATAGGAACCAGGATATAAAGTCCCATCTAAAACATTTTTAGTAGTATTCTATATAAAGCATTTGCCGATATAACTGTGAAATTCCACCAAATAAAACCCAGAATGTTTTCAGAGCTTGGGGAATCTTGCCAAACAAATATTTTCAGTTCAGCATTTTCATTATTCCAATCAATCAATCAATCAATCAATCAATCAATCATATTCTGGGATCTGGGGGGAAAAAAGAAACATAGACCCCACCATTATATATTTACTTACAGCAATAAAAATATTTGTAAACAGATAATAACAACACAGTAGTTAAGGTTAAGAGCCCAATGAAGAAGTATGGGAAAAGCACCTAAAGGAATATAATCTGAAAGAATATTGGAAAATATCCTTATCTGTTCGATTGCCATGCTTATCTGCTAGTATCACCTAGTTTGATCTCAGCACGGATTAATGATCCTTCCCACATACTATATGACTGCCTTCATATGAAAGTCCAAAATAGAGACTGAAAGTACATTAGTGGTTGCATAAAGCTGAGTTAGGGCGATAGGTGGAGAAGGGGATGATAACTCAAGGATATGAGGGGGATGAAGTGCTCCAAAATTGACTATAGTGATGGTTGCACACATCTGTGAATATAATGAAAGCCACTAACTTATAAATGTGGTTACATTGCATGGTATGTAAATTACACCTCAATAAGCTATTTAATTAAAAAATGCTCTTTAAAATGATAGTCGGTCAGTGCTTTTAACTGATTCTTGGGACTAATCCATTATCTTCAACTTAAGCCTTATTACATGTCTGGTATCCTCCTATTTCTATGGTGGAAAGGTATATATCCATGTTGTCCCCAGTGGAAAGAGAAGAATCAGACTCAAGTGAAAAGAAAAAGGAACACAATGAGGAGAAATGTAACCATATGCAAACTAACATCAACAGTTGATATTTAAAGACTTTGCCCTGAAATCACTAATAAATTGAAAGAAAGAAATTTATTACACCTAGTTTGAAACCATAGTTTTTGGTAAACTTGGTGAAAGTAATACCAAGCCCTGGATATTAAATTCTTTGCTTGATCCTGGACTCATTGATCCGTTTATTTTAGTTTTGAATAAACCATAACATAAATAATTTAGAAAGGAAACATTATTTGTGTTCCCAGGTAGAGAGTTTAGAAATAAAATTATTTCTAAATAATTTTCCATATCTATCTATATCTATATAATATATATAACTATATATTATATATGTATTTATCATATATTTTATATAATATATGTGATATATTATATATTCTATAATTACATGTTATATATTATATATATATATTTTTTCTATATATTCCAGTTTCTATACCTATAGAGCATAGTTATTAAGAGCCTTCTCTTATTATTATTAATAATAATAAAATGTTATCTGCCTTAGGTGAAGTTTAGGCCTAGATCTGCCTTGTACGACAATGGATAAATTACTTAACCTCTTAGTACGTAACCCCGTTGTCTATAGAGGGATAGCGATAGTTACCTACTTTGCTAGATATTAAGGCCAAATGAAACCAGATATAAAGTATTTAGCTCAGTATCTGGGATTTATAGAACAGTCGGTAAATATTTGCAATTATTATTTATAAATGATAAAATTTTAATAATAATTATAATTTCATTCTTGATTGTGCAAAGTTAAGGCTTCCACATAAAAAATCACCTTTTATTGCAAACATTTCCTTAATGGACATAGATGGCAGAGTCGTGTCTGTTGAA